CATCATCACCATCAACATCATCATCGTCATCATCATCAGCATCAGCATCAGCATCACCATCACCATCATCATCATCATCATCATCAGCAGCAGCAGCAGCAGCAGCAGCAGCATCGTCGTCATCATCAACAGCAATCCCAGCAAGGTGGCGGGAAGTGCCGCAGGCCACAAGACTTCCTGTCTGTCTCTGATACGACTTCCTCGGCCCACATGGGGAACATCACATTCGCCTTCTCCTGCTCCCTTCCACCTTAATCCCCCTCCTCCTCCTGTTCCTCGTATTCGTCGTCGTCGTCTCCAAGGTCGGCGGCACCGGTCGTAAGACCTTAGCAATCCAGGGTCTGGAAGCTTGTGGAACATCAGTTGAGGCTTGGCCATGGGTATCACCGCTGCCCTCATCAGACAAGGAATCCTCCAGGGTCTGAAGCCTCCTGGACGCGTTCCTTAATGAACGGCCCCATCGTATTTCTTGATTCACGCCACCGCCACCTTCTTGAGCCAAGCCGCTTTCGTGAGCATCGGAGCTGATAACGTCTGGCTTCATCCGTGTGCGTCTCTCCCAGGCCTGGGCGGCCTCAGCGCGGGCAGGCAGCTCTGCTCCTGCGTGGTGGCTGAATAGCATGGGGCTCGGGTTTTGCTCGGCCACCTCCCTCGTAGCTGATGGCATCGGGCTCGTACTTTGCTTGGCCACCTCCCTCGTAACTGATGGCATCGGGATCGTTCGTCGCTTGTCCGCCCCCCTCGCAGCTGATGGCGTCGGGCCCCATCGCCACTGAGTTCCATTCTCGTACGCTGCTGCAGCTGCTGCCCGCTCTCGCACACCTGCCCAGGCTGCCATTGTCCGTATCTCTCTATGCCCAGCCTGCCACTGCCCTCCTTCTCATCATTGCAGCAATATTGAGCCAACATGTTGTGTTTGTGAGCTTCCCCGAAAGAACATGCGTTGTTGGCACACTTCCCTAATGATAATGCTCCTGCTGCTTGTTGACATCGTGTGCTAACCCAGCCTGCTGCCACTGCCTGGCGCGCTCCCTGAACCCACTCTTCTGGGGCCTGGTCACCTTCCTGCTGCCACTGCCCTGCTTCGGTATTTGTTTGCCGCACCTGACCTTTCTCGGAGGAGGTGGAACCAACACTGTAGCTGATGGCGCCCACTCTGCTTTCGCGCTCGCTCATGCTCTGCTGTGGGTCCCAATCGGGCAACCACGAATGCCCCCAGAAGACATCACCGTAGCGCAACTGAAACCCCTGCTGACAGCTGATGGCGTGGGGCGGCAAGGCATCCAGCGCCTCCTGCCGCCACGGCCCTCCAACGACGCTGTCATGCAATGGTGGGCCTCTCTCGCAAGAAAACTGACCCTGGCTTGTAGCCAATGGTGTCAGCGCTGACGCTGGTGGCACTGGCGGCCGCCACTTCGACAACGATGTGTTTCGTCGTCGCGTCGCATGGCCTGGTGTCTGCTGCAGTGAACCGCTGCCACTGCTCGCTTTTCTCGCACATGCCCAACCAGTCCTCATGCCTCCGCTTCCCATTCTCACAGTGACTCGTTCCAGCCATGCCGATGCTTGAGGCTATTCTCCGCCAGTCTCGTAGATCGATGTGCTTACCTGTTTGGGGCCGCGCGTGTAACACGGCAAACCGCAGCTCGGATGGGCCACGGTCTCGGCTCATGTCGATGCGGTCCGAGACACACGCCGGGGGCCGGCCCGCACGGCCCCCCCGGGGAAGGGGGGCGCGATTCGGCCCCCCGATGGCCTTTGCTCCTCGTCCTCTTCTTCTCCTCCTCCTCTTCTTCTCTCGTGCTCCTCCTCCTCCTCCTCCTCCTCCTCCTCCTCCTCCTCCTCCTCCTCGTTTTCCTCCTCCTCCTCCTCCTCCTCCTCCTCCTCGTCCTCCTCGTCGTCGTCGCGGCGGCGAGGGGCGCCTTCGCAGCAGCCAGCGCTGGCGGGGAGGAGCGGTGGCGGCGAAGCACGGCGAGGCAGGGCGCGGCCAGCGGCGGGCGGCCAGGGGCAGCTGGCGAGGGGCGGCGAGCGGCGGCCGGCGAGCGGCCAGCGGCGAGGGGCGGCTGGCTAAGGTGATGGGCCTGGGAGTGGGAAGGGGTCCTCCTCCTCCTCCTCCTCCTCCTCCTCCTCCTCCTCCTCCTTCCCCCCTCCAACTTATGGTTGTGGTGGTGGAAAACAGGCCCATCCGGAGGGGCGGCAGGCGGCGAGAGGTTGGCGAGAGAGCCGCGGCGAGCGACGGGCGGCCTCGACTTCCGCGGCGCTCAGCTCGGAGCTGGCCGCAGGTCCCAGCGGCGCCTCGCCAGCGCCGGGCTCCAGGTGGCAGGCGGCGGCGCGGACGCGCAGTCGCGCGGGGCCTTCGGCAGGGCGCCCATGGGCCATGACTGCTGCTCGTCGCCGCCGTTTTCGCCACCACCACCACCAGCCTTCTCCTGATCAGCACAATGCAATATCGGCCGCAAATCCACTGCTGGCACTGCTGTCGTTGCCATCATCACTGCCGGTGTCTTGGTCGGCACCATCGGCATCATGATCAGCAGCATCATCACCATCACCATCACCACCGTCCCCATCAGCACCGCCATCGTCGTCTTAATCATCATCACCGCCGCCACCACCAGCAGCATTGTAATCAACATGAACAACACGATCATCCTCACATGTATCATGGTAACCGTCATGGCAATCACTACCCTCATCACCCGCATCATCCTCACGTGCCCCCCTCATCTTCAGCATCATCATCAGCAGCAGCATCATCATCATCAGCAGCAGCAGCATCATCCCAATCATCATCATCATCATCATCATCATCATCATCATCATCATCATCATCATCATCATCATCATCATCATCATCATCATCATCATCATCAGAATCCTCATCATCCTCATCCTCATCATCATCATCCTCATCATCACCAGCTTCCTCTTCACCATCACCATCGGCATCGCCATCGTCATCGCCATCGCCATCGTCATCGGCATCGCCATTGTCAACGCGATGGTCGGCATCACCATCATCATGAAGGCCTTTGGTCGTGATCACTACCTCCCTTCTTCTCTCACCCTCCTGCTCCCTCTCCTCCCCCTCCTCCTCCCTCTTCTCCGTGCCTCCTCCTTCTCCTCCTCCTCTCTCGCAACCGCTGGCGCGTCACCCAAGGGCCCCCGTGCCCGTCGCGCCCGCCGCGCCCCCAAGGGGGCGCGATGGCTACACGGAGACCGCTTTTTTTCCCGGGGGGGGGGAGTAAGGAAAAGCCGCCCACACTACCGAAGACCACCCGAGGCCTCGAGGGCGAGAACAGGAGGGGAGATGGGTGGAGCGTCGGGGCCACCCCACCGCAGGTGCGGTACATACCGTAGCGTAGCGCACGGAGTATCCTGTCGGCAATGTACACGATGGCTGCGATGATGCTCACAGCGCTAAGTGGGTACGTACACTCAATGGATTGAGAGTAAGCTGTTCTTGTACACCCTTGTACCCTCCTCCCCCCTTCGCAAGGCAGCAAAACCTGCCCAGGAACAGCGTGGAGCTTCTAGTGTCCTCGCGTATGGATCAAGGCGGCGTGAATTAAGACCGAGTGCCTCCTCCCTCCTCCCCCATCCTCCTCGAGCGGAACTGGTCGTCGAAAGTGGTCGAGGATGGACCGAAGACGACCGAAGAGGCACGGATGCAAGGGCAATTGCCCTTGGGAAACCGAACATCCTTGCTATGCAGGTTGACTGCACACCGAGTGCCTCCTCCCTCCTCCCCCGTCCTCCTCGCTCCTCACTCCCGCCGCGCTCGCGAAGCGCCTGTTGGAGTCGCTGCACGCGCGGCGAGCTGCAGCCTCTAAAGCGATGGAGGTGCTCCGCCGTGCTCGCCTCTGGCTTCCGTGGGCCGCCCGGGCGGCCGCGGTGGCAGGCACCGCGGCCTGCGCAGGGGCTCCCGACTTCGCGCGTCGCGCTGCGCACGAGAAGGACGCAAGGGCCTTGGAACTCCGTGTCGACACTTTGCGAGCGGGGCGCGGCGAGCGAAAGCGGCCAAGGATGGGCCGAGAGGGAAGGATGCAAGGGTAATCTTGGAAAGTTGCTCGTCCTTTTTGTGTGGGTTGACTCTGCATGCTGCCGACTCGTCCTCCTCTTCCTCCGAGAGTGTTACCAAGGGCGCCTAACTTCGCGTTTTGCGCGTCACGCTGCGCGAAGCGCGAAGCACGAATAAGTTCGCGCTCTCGCGCCGCCCCACATGGGAGAACAGGAGGATGAGGAGGAATCGGAGCCGGACCGCGAAGCGCGAACAACTTCGCGCCCTCGAGAGCGCCCTTGCTGTGAGACAGCCGGCGGATGTCGTCGGAGGGAGGGGACACGGGCGGAGGTGGAGGAGGAGGGGTAAAGAGGAGGAGAAGAAGGCACTTCGGCGAAATCTTGTATAGTCGCGGCCTCGGCGAACGCACGAGTCGGTCGTAGCAAGCGCCGGGCCACAGCGAAACAACTTGTGCGCAGGGGAACAAGAAACTTCGGTGATGGCATTTCCGCCTTGAACGCGGCGCGCGGGATGTGCACATACGCGGCGAGCCTGGGCGGAGGCACGCTGCGTGAGCAGGGCTGCCCGACGGCGGCTGAGAGGCCCAACGAAGTCTGCGAGCAAGTCAGTTCCAATGAAGCGCTCGATAGCACCAGCTCCTGCAGGGCCGGTTGTCGCGAAGACCCTCGCGTTCGCGCGGCAGCTCGGAGCGCGCGCCCGCGCTCCAGCCCGTGCTCCTCCTGCTCTCACAGGAAAGCTTCAAGAGCACGGTCTGAGCCTCGCAGCAACGACAGAACACTGCACAAGCACGGGCCGAACAGCGTCTGGAGTGGGCCGAGTGCACAGTCGGAACCGTTGTTCGCCATCACCGTGCCATCGCTCGGACGTCCACTCCCCACGCCTTTTTCGGCCTCGTGCGTGCACTTCCTTCGCACGATGACCCAGGACGCTCCTCGGGCTGCTGGACGGTGCGCTCCCTGCTCCCGCTTGCGGAAGTTGGGGCGTGCGCCGATCGCCCCTCGCTGCTCTGCGCGGCCCCCTGCCCGCCCTCTGTGCCCCTCGGGGCCTCCCCCGTCGCTGCCGCTTGCCGAAGCATCGACGCGCTCCGACCTGGGCCGCCGGGGCCGCACGCGGGGGCCCCATCGGTGGCTCGCCTATCGCGCACTCCGCCGGCCCCAGGCCGTGTCGGGCTGCTCCTCGACGGCCCTCGCCAGGAGAAGACGTCCGAGCGAGCGTGCCCCAGAGGGCGGCGGGACTTCTCTCCGGCAGGTGCGGTGCATCGCCATGAAGGGGCCCCAGGACACACAAATAAATACACACAAATAAAAATATCCCCCATATTTTCCCATATTTTCTGGGTTTCTGTCTTCCCCCCCACTTCCCATATGTTCCCATATTTTCTGGGAAATCGAGGATTAATTGTGTCTGTGTGTTTTTTCCTCTCCTGAGCATCGCCATGAAGGGGCGCGAGAACTCGTCGAGCTGTCGCGACAGGGGCTCTGCCCGCGGCGCGAGGGAGTGCGGGCGGCCGGCCGTCCAGCGCGCCCGGACCGAGCGGCTGGCGGCACAGCGTGCTGGCGGCACAGTGTGCGTCCGGGGCTAGAGAAGAGAGGTCCCAGGATGAAGGGGCCCTGGGACACACAGATAAGTACACACAAATCAAAGGCTCCCCCATGCTGTTCCATATTCTCTGGCGTTCTGTCTTCCCCCCCGCTTCCCATGTTTTTACCTAACAGCTTTTGCTGATAGGTTTCTAGTAGGGTCAAAAGAGAGCATCTGGACTCCACAGGGGGGTCTGGGCGGGTGCCAGGGAGGAGGGCCGGGAACAGAGCCGGGCTCGTTTTAAGCCAACAGTCACACACTTCGTGCTCTTCGACCTCCCAGAACTCCATTCCCGGGCCACATTTTGAATAACCGGAGCCAACAGTCACACACTTCGTGCTCTTCGACCTCCCAGAACTCCATTCCCGGGCCGCATTTTGGATGCCCGGAGCCAACTGTAGGCCACTTCGTGCTCTTCGAGTTCCCAGAACTCCATTCCCGGGCCACATTTTGGATACCCGGAGCCAACTGTAGGCCACTTCGTGCTCTTCGAGTTCCCAGAACTCCATTCCCGGGCCACATTTTGAATGCTTGCTTGAGGCTGCTGCTGAGGCTGCTGATGAGGCTGAGGCAGGCTGAGGCTGAGGCCGAGGCTGAAGGCAGAGGCTGAGGCTGAGGCTGAGGCTGAGGCAGGCTGAGGCTGAGGCTGAGGCAGGCTGAGGCTGAGGCAGGCTGAGGCTGAGGCTGAGGCAGGCTGAGGCTGAGGCTGTGACTGCGACTGCCGTTGCCGCTGCGACTGTCATCGCGAATGCGACTACGACTGCGAGAACAACAGAATTCTACAACTGGATTCTCATCTGAATCTTACGGGGAATGCTTCCAGATATGCTCCTACACATCGCTGTTAGGTTGCTTTGCCGGGATAATCCCATATTTTCCTGGGAGTGGACGATTCATTGTGTCTGTGTGTTTCTTCCCTCCTGACAGGAGGTTGCCGCGGCCCCCGTCTCGCGCGGCGCAGGGCAGGCGTCCCGCGGGGGCCGACTTCTCGTCGCCGCTGCCGCGGCCTCGCGGCTGGCGGCTCGGAGGCCCCCAGGCGGCGTGGTGACGGCACCGCGTGTGACTACCTACCAGACCACCCCAACCCAACCCGACGACCCGAATTTCGGGTTGGGGGGGGTAAGGGCTCCACACGTGTTTTCTCTATGTTTCCCGACCCCCCCCCCCACTGGAAGTCGAGGGTAAATCTGAGCCTTCGGGTTGGGTTGGGGTGGATTGGTGGGCGGTGAGCGTGGTGAGTCGGTGGGGACTGGAGGTCGCCGCACGGTCTTGGGCCTCGGGCCCCTCTCCGAGGCCATCTCGGGCGGCAGGGGGCCTCCCCGGGGTCCCCCCAAAACCGTGCGGTGGCGGACCGTGCGGTGAGGTCTCGGCTCCGAAGTGGTGGCGTGATGGCGACGGCGCACACGCATGCTGCCTGACCTGGGCCAGAAGAACATCCTGCAAGAACATGGGACCGTCCGCCGGCCAAAGCACACAGAGCGTCCGAGGGCACCCTCCCCAAGGCGCACAGGAACATCCAACAGACACGAGGAACATTAGGGCACCCTCCCCGAACCGACCTCTATCTTATTCCTCGGTCCGACTGTGTTGTCTCAGAACCGAGGATGCGCTGGTGATTGCGATCGCTTGGCTCGCGAAAATAAAACAAAAAGCAACAAGGCACGACAAAGAGGACGACAGTCAGGAGCATGAGGACGGACAAGAAAAAACAACAGGAAAGGGAAGACGGACGAGCAGGGACTGGGACGGCGGTGGGAGGATGACGATGATGATGATGGGGATGGAGCTGAGCGGGATGAGGGAGAAGGGGAGGACGAAGCAGGGGGAAGCACTGGAACGAATGGCGTTTAGGAGGACAGTGGGGAAGCGAGGAGAAGGGGAAGAAGCGTGGAGGGAGG